CAAGTTCTTAAGCTGAAATTTCCTGGCTTTTTAATACCTGACATTTTGTTTTGAAGTGTACGTCTTTAACAGAAAGTTAGATTCTTGCTTTAAACTGTGACACCTAATGAGCTATTTTGTTTGACAAGAACTGACTTCAAAAATGTCTGGGAGCTTAGACACTGCAGAGAGCAGGGGAAGTGAAAGCAGGGCTGCCGTGTGTTTTGCTGGACAAGCCATCATTATCTGCCTAGATGTTTTTTCTTCTGGGCAGAGGAGTGTTCAGCCGTGTGTCCAGGATTTCCAGAGTGCTTATCACTGGATGGGCAGCAACCCCAAAGGATGAGATGTCTCCAAAGCATAGTGCTGTGGGGGTACACATGTAGGGCAACAGGAGGAATGCTGGCACATCTTGTATGTGCTGGGTTTGCTGTGCCTGCACTGCATGGCATCTGGCCTCACGCTCCACTCAGCCACAGCCCAGGTGCCCAGGGCCACTGGCTTCCACGTCACATCTGTGTCTCATTAGATCCGCAGAAGCTCTACGAGGAGCAGTGTGTCGCACTGCAGCCGGCTGGACCAGTTTGAGATCCGAACACTCCTGATGTGCTACCTCTACATTGTGAAGATGATCTCTGAAGGTTGGTGGCTCCTGATCACTGGAGGGCAGCCAGAAATACAAGAGACCATCACCAGCATTTTGGTCTATAACGTCCCCCTTTAATTTGTTTTTAAATCTGTGTGCCGTTTTTTTTCTTTCAGATACTCTTCTAGCTTACTGGAACAAGTTCTCCCCTCAAGAGCTGATCAATGTCCTTATGCTTCTGGAGTGAGTATCACGAAGCTCCAATTCGAACATGGGGCTTTTGTGTGGGCAGTATTGGCCAAGAAAACAACATGAATGTGGTGTGCCTTGCAGGGTGCACATGGTCTTGTGCAGCACTAGAGGTGTCCAGCCAGGTGTAATGAAATGCTTTTCGTTCCTCTGAGGAGAAACAGGTGTATATTGAGGGAGCACAGTGAAGTGGCAGTGCCCTGTGCTTGGTCTGGGCTGTGCAGAGGGTGTCCCACCACCCAGGGCTCACAGCATGGTGTCCTGCTGTAAGCAAAACAGCCTCCACTTTGCAGCAGGTTCGGTGGAACAGATGGGTGAGGAAACAGGCATGTGCCGTAGGGTTTGGAAACCGAGGGGTGTGAGGTCAAGTGATGTGTAAATACAGACCCAAACCCTCGTGCACAGTGGAGTGTGTCTGCAGATGAGGACAGGGTGGGTGTTAAATATTCTGGATTGTTCCTGATCTGCAGGATCTGTAATAGATACACATTTTGTTTTCTTTCTAGGGTGTGTTTATTTCACTTCAGATATGTGGGGAAGAGAAATATTGCCAGGTACTGTATTCTTCCATCCGGGGCTGGGGTGGGGGGGCAATCCCCGTGCTCCTTGCCACAGCCAAGGCAGGAAGGGAGCATGCACACCCATGCCAGGCAAACCCAAGCAGGCAGGAAGCCTGCAGGGCTGGGACTCTGCTCAGCACCCTGCTGCGAGCAGTCCCCTCTTCTTAGCACTCTGCCACTTCCCTTCCCTCCAGCTCCTGCATGAGAACCCCAGGCACAGGCGCTCCTGGCTGCCCGCGCAGTTTGGCAGCGTCCCCCGCAGTCAGCTGCAGGTGAGACACGAGTTGCATCCCTGCTCCCTGAGCAGCAGCACTGCTGTTTCATTAGCTGTAGGGCCATCTGGTGCAGGCAAGACCAGAGTGGCCTGATCAGTCCTGCTGGGATTGTCTGGGGTAAACCGGATTAGTGTGTTGGAGAGGGGCCAGGTCTCGGTCCTCCGGGCCTTCTGTAATCCTGTAGTGGTGTGGCTGCCACTGCTTGTCCAAACCTGCAGTCTTCACTTCCCCTTTCAGGGTGCAGGACGCCTGGTTATCCAAGCACACAGGAGCCGATAGGAAATCTCAAACGATGCCAGCACTCCGCAGCAGAGCTGGGGGGATGCAGGTGCGGCTCCAGCATCTGGGCAGTTTGGAGACCTCCTTCACGCTCAACCACAGTATGTACAGCACAGTGAGATGGGACCGTGGGGTATTAGCCTGCTTGAAAACTGCATGTAGCCATTTTCCACTTGCTGCTTGTTGCTTCAGGATATTCAAACTCTGCAGAATTACAGTGGTCACTGCTCCTCCCTGCAAAATTCCTAGGTTGGTGGGAGTGACATGTAAGGCAGCCCCTTAAAAATCAGCCTTAGGACTTAGGACTTGCATGGCTTTTTCATCTTGGCTGAGCTCCTTGGCTAAATGTGTGTGCAGGCAATGCCTTGGTTTGGGTAGTGAGCAGGCAGGCAGGAGAGCTGTCCTGCGCAGAAACCTAGGCCAGGATCTGCTCTGAGCCCCTCCACATGGGTGGGTTTTGCCTCATTGAAGCACCTTGCCATTTCCCCTCTGCGTATGCAGCCTGGACACCTCGTTCTCTGTCTGGCTTTAAAGACAGTGAGCTTAAGGGGAAATGCTGATACTCGTTTTCTTGGTTGGCATCAGGCTGGGGCAGCTTCGCTGAATGGAACTGGCAAATGCAGTATCTCACTATTCTTACCTTATGTCCCAAACCCAGTGAAATGCAACGGGAGAGCCTTATCTATATCAGCATTGAGATCTTGTAGCAGCTGGTGTTGTTTCCTTCTGTTTTGCTTTCCGTCCACAGATGCAGGCACCTCAGAAGCAGATATCATGCACCAGGCTTTACTGGAGGGCAATATTGCAACTGAAGTGTGCCTGACAGTCCTGGATACCATCTCTTTTTTCACTCAGAGTTTTAAGGTCAGGATTGAACTCAAAAGTATTGTAGAAAAGGATGCTGTATTTCTGTATGTGTGTTGATTTTCATGATCCGTTCTCCTACAGTGGCAGATTATGGAAGGCTTTACAAAAGCAAATCGTTTGCAGCTTGTTGGTTTTGCAAAATGCTGAGTGTTTCACAGGATCTTAGAGTATTTATGCACTTGTACAATCTTGCAATTTCTTCAAAACTACAAGACCAGAGAAAATTACATGGTTATTATAGCATGAGCGTAGCCATTACAAAAATAGAATAAGAGGAAACATACATCATATGGAAAGGAGGGACTAGAGGAAAGGGAAATGAAGGTCTAGCATTCTTAGAACAGTCACTGTTTTCTACCATAAATGGCCTAGAGGCGACGCCCAGATTTACTTGAATCACTGTACATTAATGTCTCTGGGGCTGAGGCGTTCCAGCTGCGGTTACCAGTTCAGCTAGGACCGTACCACTGGTAGAAGTCTCCTCCTCCACATAGTGATTCGCACTCAGAGCAATCACTGCCATCTACAAGAATCAAAGCCTCCATGGTGAGGAGAACCCCAGGCTGGCAGCAAAATACTGAAATACTTTTCCAGAAAAGCTCTTCCTTGAAGTGTGATTGGACAAATCCTGCTCATACCAATGTGTCTTGCATAATGTCACAAGAAAGCTCCGAATTTCAGAGTAAGCACAGTGAAGATTTCCTTTTTAGATGGATTGAAGAACATGAAGAGAAAGTTCATGTTATATCCTCTGCTTCTGTTACAGAGCGAGAAAGCCATCCTGGTGCATATGTTAAATTACTCCTTAGAAGTTTGGCAACAGTATAAGGATTTAGATGCAAGAGTTAAAACTGGCTTGACTTTCTCAGTTGCCTCTTTTTGAATATGGCTGAACCACAAAACAATGTGATTTTCAAACCACAGGATAGACTGGATTCCCTTCCGCTTTAATGGGCTTCTGCTTTGCTTTTATGGTCATGCAGTGTTACCGCACAAAAGTGTGCTCTGTACTGCAGTAAAAGTGCTGATGCTGTTCTTACTGCTAGTTCAGTTAAAAATTATGGATCCTGAACTTACTGTGCTACAAGATGTGTATAGGATGTCAGGAGACAAATCTGAGCCAGCCCAAGCAATCCTTGGGCTGGCAGTGAGACAGGGACTATTGATCTCCTGTCGATACAGGACATCCACATCCTTGCTGGGTGGCCAGGATGCACCAGGCTTCCTGCGCAGTGGCTGCAAGAATGGCAGCAGGCACAGGCAAGATAACTCTGATACCAAACTGTAATAATCCTCTCCAAGTAATTCCATTTTACCATATCTCCAGAAGGTGCAAATTATTAAAACTTTGCGGGAGACAAGGGGGAGTGTCCTGACTTAACACAGCTACGGATCTGTCCAGTGCAAAGATGGCATAGTCTTTTTTTTTCTCTCTCTCTCTTTTGTGCTGCAAATGAAACACTTCTTGAGACAAATGAAAAGAAATGGAAAAAACAGTGTGATGGTTCTGTTGGTAACAGCCTGTTTTATTTAAAATATCTTTAGACAACCGGTGAAAGTTGTACAGATTATTGAGTTAGGTATTGGAATTAGCAATGCAAAAGGGATAAAATATTTTTGTTTTATTCTCTGCTTTAAAATTAGCCTCTGTCCAACTAGTGTAGTTTGTACTGGTTGTCACATTTATTGGTTATATTTTTACTGAAGGCCCTGTTCCTTATCTGGCTTAAGAATTGATGTGATTAATTATGCAAAATTATCTCTGTCATTTCCAGCTTCAGGCACGATATCTTTGCAAAATAAATTCTCTCATTGCTTTCCAGACCCAGCTTTTGAGCAACGATGGCCACAATCCACTCATGAAGAAGGTTTTTGATATTCATCTAGCTTTTCTCAAAAATGGGCAGTCAGAAGCAGCTCTTAAGCACGTGTTCGCCTCTCTGAGAGCTTTCATTAGCAAGGTATGTAATACATAACTCCAAAGGCGCAGGACAGTTTATAGAAGTATGACAGAAGAGACCAGTATGCTTAAACTCCTGTTAAACTGATGTTTTGTGCTGTTTGGAGATGTGTTTTAGAAAACAATTTCTTCATTGATTTAAAAAACAGCCCAGGTTTAAGTTACCTATTTCAACAGGTATTTATTATTTGTTGGATATCAGGAAACAAAAGGAGAAATTGCGAGGAATTCCCTCGCTTGCCTTGGTCACAAAACTGCTGTTAAAATTAGTATCTGTTTGACCAAAAGCTGGTACTTCTTGACTCTTTGCCCCAAACTGTCAATGTTGCTGACAGTCTTATTGCTTGAATAATGCTGGTACTGACAAGCTGCTCCTCTCCCATTGCATTTGAAAGAGGGTAATACTTGCTGAACCTCATTCTACGCTTTTCTGAGACTTGGTATGCAGCGAGGCTGTTTAATCCCCTGCGGTCAAGCAGTATCAAAGCAGCAGCGAACCACATAAGAGCAGCGACTGATGCTATTGCTGACATTTCCCTTCATGCTCGTCAAAACCTGCCACTTCTCATAAGTACATTTTCAAGACCAGCTGTACAGACAAGCTCCATTTCTTCCAAGCTGCACGGTTATCATAAATTCAGAATTAATTAAAACTTCTCAAATCATTTGAATGCAAGACTTCATTGATGAGGTAAATCCATGTGGCATGAGACTGCAGCCAGGCAGAGCACAGCATGTGAATGATATGCAGCAAAGTGTTAGTTCCAAAGAAGGTCTTGCACTAGTTGCCAAGCAAAGTTTGATTTAAGAAAGAGACTGCTAAACTGTTTTTCAAAGGTGGAAAAGGTCTGTGCTATGTACATTTTACTATAACCCCACAGCAAAGCTAAGAACTAGCATGAGTATGTCTAGGGCTGAACTTTGATTCGTCCTAAGCAAACACATGAGAAGCAGCAAATTCAGAAGTCTTTCTAGCTACCTATCTGGCTCCAGACAGCGTGGTCTCCTATGGGATGTTTTGCCATGGGGCTTCTTAAAGCCTTCTGGATTGGCAGCTGGCACTGGCAAGAATCACTCACATTTTTCTAGTATCCCATATGTGTTTTTTGCTCTACCTTTCTTTTGAGTTTTCTGCTTGCCTGTGATCTGCTTAGCCTTGAGATCCATCCTGCTGCAGATCTGCACACCCCCCATTCAGACAGTCTCTCTGCACATCTCTTCCCCTTACCAGTCAAAAGTTTGTTTAGCAGAAATATTTGGTTTGTGCCTATAGCAATAAGAGACCTTCCTTGCCTCCCTGGCAAATTTTCAGCGTTGCTTAAATGCAAAGCCAAACCTGCACATCTGCTCAATATGATCTCACCATCAGCCTTCGAAACCTGGAGCCCTTCAGGGGTTCCACGCTCGCTTTCCAAAATGCCAATTACAGCAATGGAGGCTGTATTCTTGGCTGCTGCAGGGATGGGCAGTGGGGTCATTTTCTTGGATTTATGCCAGCCTGAAACCATGGTGAATTTGGCATCGTGGGTCTTCAAAGATATGGTTTCAGTTAATTTCTCACATTTCCTCTATGACAGGACACAGTGTTGCTTCTGTAAAAGCAAGATATGAGCCCAGCAGATGGTATCTATAAGGAAGTGTTTTCTTTGCCAACTCCATAACCACATGAGTTCCAAACTTCCTTTTAAGTCCTCTGAAGGGCTTTTCTGAGGCCCAGAGTGACAATAAAATAGCTAGAGAGGTCACTGTGTTTCATGACAAGTGCAGGGATGGCATGTTTTCCTGAAAGTTTCTTTTGAAATACAAGAGCTGCGCTGCTTTGTTTTGGGTTGCTTATCACTGTTAGCTGTAAGTTAGTGTTAACTTAAAGAAAACCAAAAGTGAGTTATACCTTTGATGCAGCTATAATGGACAATTGGTCATTTTTATGGCCTTCTGTAGCTAATAATTACAAGGAAAAGAATCCCGCTTTTATCTAGGGTCACAGCAAATGGTTGCTGGAGGGGGAAAAAACCTCCTGAGATTTATTCTGCATCCCAAACTCTGTTAAAAATAGCTTGCTTTCTGCATTAAATCTGATTATTTGATAGACAAAAGACAAAATTAAAAAAAAAAATATGCAAGAAATCAAAAAACAAGCAAGTTCTATAATTGTTTGCATGTTTGGTTTTGGTTTTGGTTTTAGAATGAATCCCGCTTGCATGCATGTGTACTGGAAATTTGGGAAGAAAGTTCTCTGTTTTACCAGCTGGGAAGAAGCAACAAAAGCTAGATTGCTCTTGTTTTATGCTTTAGGTTTTCTTAACAACTAAATCCTTCTTTTCAGAGCATTGCTTACACATAAATATATACGTACATGCTTGCAATGGTCTTGAAATTAAAGGTTACGAAGGAAAACATGCCCAGAGGAGAGGGCTGAGACAATTTTCCCTGCATTAATGAGCAGCTCAGACACGTTGATGTGAGAGTGATGGAAACCCCATGTAGCTGCCCGCTTCGTGCCTGCCTGTCCCTCAGTGCGTTGACGCTAGCAGAGTTAGAGGCATCACAAATCCCAGCCCTGAAGGCTTGGGCAGCAGAGCCTTGCTCCTTTCTTGCAACAGCTGATTTGGGAAGCTTTCCCTGTCTGTTAGCAATTCCCCCTGACCATGTCAAGCTGTGCTTTCCCTCCCTGTTAGTGCTGTCAGGATGCAGCATTGTTACAGCCTTCCATGCACTTGTGAAGGGCACTTGGCATGTCCTGCCTGCCGCTGTGGCTGCCCTGCCCTCACGACACTTTCGTGCTGAAGCCTCACTGGGAGCTGCCTGCTGCATGGTTGGATCAGAAATGTGCTCCTCCAGCGCACACAGAGTCATCGCCACATGTGCTGGTTTTGCAGCTCTTCCCAGCTCTTGTTCTCCTGCCAGCCGGAGAGCTGCGGGCAGCACCTGGCCAGATCTCCAGCAGGCATACAGCCTCAGGCTTGCTGCCTCAAGCCTGGCACCAGGAGCAATTGCATCTGCTTCAGCTTCTTGAAGGAGCTGCGTGGGGACACAGGTTCCCTATGAACAGGGCACAGGTTTTCCTCTAGAGCTGGGGCAGTGAGGAGAGGAGTGCACAGGGGAGGGGTCTTGGGCTGCAGCAGATTCCCAGGCGAAGTTTTTCTCCCTAGCACTGGCTTGGAAATGTCTGAAAAGCCTCTGCAGAAAAGCAATGGTCCCTGCTGAGAGCAAGTGCCAGCCATATCATCTTGGGTGCCCATGTGCTGCCTATGCATGCCCAATCGCACTTCACTGTGGCCAGCTCTGGGCTAAACCCAGTTCTGAGCATGACCCCATCTCTCTATGGCAGAAGGATTGCATTACAACAGGCAGCAATTACTTAATAGCTCTTTTCCCGAGTGCACACATTGTTCTCTTGGCCCTGTGTTACTATGATGTTTGTTTGCTTCTTTTCTTTCTCCCATTTTTTTTCTGAAAATATTTTTGGCCAGAGGTGGTGAACACCAAGTATTTTTTGGTCAGTGTCTTCGTTCTGCCTTGTAACCCACGTGGCTCAGTGTACTCCCAACAGTGTAGTCTTGCTAGCCGCAGCTCCTAGATTCCTGTTTTAAGACCCTTTCACCAGCACACCATGGTGGTGGCCACAGCAGTACGTACAAGCTTTTCTGAATCATATATACTTAATGCAAGGAGTAGAGGGCCACGGTGAAGGCTCCAGACTCTGACTTGGAGAATGTGAGTGAATACTCTGACAGTATTTACCGTCATTTCCCATGGGGAAAAGGTAGTGGGGCAGATGGAAGTGGCTTATGGACTGTGCCCCATGAGGACCATTGGGTCTTGAATGAACTGAGTGTATCTTTCCTCTGAAGAGATTAAAAACATGGTTGTCTCTGTTGCCTCTCTGTGCCAGGAAATTCTCTGGGGCTGGTCCCCAGCTGCAGCAGAGGGAGCAGAGTGCCACTGTGCAGTGCTTGAACAGCCTCCGCTCCCTCTGGGAGGTGTTGGTGTCACCCCTCTCCAGCCAGGTCCCTGTGGTGGCTGCAGAGGCAGCTGCGTGCCAGCATGAAATGCTTCTTTGTTCTGCTTCCCTGTGCCCAGCCTGTGGTGGCCAGGGTAGAAGGAAGCTGAGTGGGGTGCCCGCTCCCCACCAGCCACCGCTCATGACCGCAGCCAGACAGACATGTGCTGGCCATCCCTGCTCCAGTGAGCCTTGCACGGAGGCTGCTGCCCACTGGGGCAAGGCACCGCTGTAGCCGTCTGCTTTTCAGGCATGGCTGAGCTTTGCCCCTGCAAACATGCTTGAAAGCAGGTGTTTCGTAAGGCCATAGACGTGCTATGGCAGTACGGAGTGCTGGTCTTCCCCTTCTGCTTTTCTTCAACCCGCGGAAATTCTCTGAGCCCTGTTGCTAACTGAGGTAGCTCACACTGCAGTTTGGCTTGATCCTGCTGCTCCCTGGAGCCAGCTCCATCTGAGGGGTCAGGGCTGGTCACTGTATATTTTACACTCCGTGGGACAAGCAAGTCTTTTGTTTGCATTCCTGAGGGCAAGCATGATTTTAGGCTTTTTTGGGGGATGTGTAGAAGTAGCATCACGCGACATGTTTCCCAGCAAGATCAGACTTCTGGGTGGGTTCCAGCGGATTTTCTGATGTCCCAGATGGCAGCCTTTGGTGGGAATGTGCATAGGCCCTCTCCTCTCTGCCCTGGTGCTGCTGTTCATGGCTTTTGTAAGAACACAAAACTTCTGTCTGTCCAATTTGGTGAGAATTTGTTGATGAACCTAAAAGTTGTTTTGGGAGGGGATAGACAGACCTACACAAGCGCATCCCCAAAAAGTGCGACAGCAGAGTTCACATTGCTCTAGGAAACATGGTTAAAAATAGGTCCCAAATTAATTCCCACAAATACCTCCAGGCTCAGAACTCTGGTAGGAGTTTTATTTAGGCTGTCCAGGCTGGAGTCCAGTGTGTTGCCCCATACCCCTGCCCATCTGAGCCCTGTGAATGTAATTTGGTAGTGTATTTTCTAATATTTTCATGCCTCTTGTGAAGTTTCCCTCAGCATTTTTCAAGGGAAGGGTGAACATGTGTGCTGCCCTCTGCTATGAGATCCTGAAGTGTTGCACTTCCAAGGTGTCCTCCACAAGGAATGAAGCCTCAGCTCTTCTGTATCTCCTGATGAGAAATAACTTTGAGTTCACCAAAAGGAGAACGTTTCTGAGAACACATCTTCAGGTCAGTGGGGAAAAGCTAGAGAGCAGGATGCCTCAGGTTTGATGAACAGATATATCAATATAACTCCATCACCTCATATTTGCACAGGATCTTGCCGTTGTTACATGGACAAAAATCCTCTTGATTTCCAGGCTTTGCCTCATTCCTGTTTCCAGTGAGGGGCGTAGGGCCCTTTGAGTAGAATACACTGCCATCAAGTACTCCAAGCTGTTGCATTTTAGGAATCACAGACACAAGACACATCTCTGCCCCAGAGGCTGGCTGGGATGGGGTGGAAAAGACAGCAAGAGCAGCTGCCTTTGAGGCAATAGAAGGGATTTTCCTGGAGCTGCTTTTGCAGCATTGTTTGTTTGAAGCAAATTTAAATACCTAGTGAAGCAGATTAATACTGCCTGGGTTGTAATGAATCATGGAAGAAGGTAACTAATGTACAAACAGGGATTTGTATTACAACTGTTATATTGTTAATTCTGTGAACTCACTGTTCAGCAAAGCAGTTTGGTCCTCTGGGGAGTATTTGTCTTTGGCAGATGTGACAGCAAAGCCACAACAACCATTACTTACATTGTGGGAAAGATATGATGTTTTTGTTTGAGCATTTTACATAACTGTGACAATATACCTCCTCTATTAGGGCTTGATTACATAAAGCCCCTACCCTGTCCCAACAGATAATAATTGCAGTGAGCCAATTAATAGCAGATGTGGCACTTAGCGGTGGGACAAGATTTCAAGACTCCTTGCTCATCATTAACAACTTTGCAAACAGTGACAGGCCTATGAAGGTAAGTTGTAGACATTAGATCACATCGTGTGCTATCAGACGTTAATGCAAGACCGGGGAGGCACTCAAAATCATGTTTAAGGGTAAGACTAATGATGGGAACTATGATTTGTAAGCTCATAGTGGGCTGTATTTGCTCAGTAACAAGTATTATGCCAACAGCAATAGGGCCAGCTGCACAGGCATGTCATGCTCCATCCATGAGGCTTCACACCAAGAGGAGGGAGCTTTTCAATTCAGGTTATGCTTTGCAGCGTGTGCTGCTTGCAAGGGTGTCCAAAGAGGTTTCCAAGAACTTCCAGCTTTGAGAGGAATGACAAGGGAGGGTCTGGTACTTCTGTTGCCTGAAGGTAATAATTAGCAGGAATTAATTTTAATTAATTGAGTGTCAGCAATATTAAGAAAGCAGTCTTTCATGGAGATTAAGGGTTGTATTTCTTTGGAAAACGATTGTCTGTGTGCCAGAATTTAACAGCTTCTAGCCAACCCATTGGATAAAATATCATCACTGCACCTTGCTTCATTGCACACAGTGTAGCTGCCAAGGTAGGACAGAGGAAAATGGGAAGTGGTTTTGCAGTCCTGTGATTATCCTATGACCCAAAGGTGGAATGGGAACCTCCATTAGGTGTTGAATTGTGCTATAACAAAGTTACAGTTAGGATATTCCTGGCAAAAACCTCTGTTCTCTTCTGTATGCAGGTGTTTATAAGGATTTAAGAGAACAGCCATGCAGAAAAGGACTTGGGGGTGCTGGTGGATGAAAAACTGAATATGAGCCAGCAATGTGTGCTCGCAGCCCAGAAAGCTAACCGCATCCTGGGCTGCATCAAGAGAAGTGTGGCCAGCAGGTTGAGAGAGGTGGTTCTGCCCCTCTACTCTGCTCTGGTGAGACCCCACCTGCAGTGCTGCATCCAGCTCTGGGGCCCTCAGCACAAGACAGACATGGACCTGCTTGAGCGGGTCCAGAGGAGGCCACGAAGGTGATCAGGAGTCTGGAGCACCTCCCCTGTGAGGACAGGCTAAGAGTGTTGGGGTTGTTCAGCCTGGGGAAGAGAAGGCTCTGGGGAGACCTTATAGCAGCCTGCCAGTGCTTAAAGGGGGTCGGCAGGAAAGGTGGGGAGGGACTCTTTATCAGGGAGGGTAGTGGTAGGACGAGGGGTAATAGTTTCAAACTGAAAGAGGGGAGATTTAGATGAGATGTGAGGAAGAAATTCTTTAGTGTGAGGGTGGTGAGGCACTGGAACAGGTTGCCCAGAGCAGCCGTGGCTGCCCCCTCCCTGGCAGTGTTCAAGGCCAGGTTGGATGGGGCTTGG